TCTTGTCTTTAAAATGGGGCTAGTAACAGTTTCTCAAGCTTTTGGCGTGGCTTCTAGCCTGCAGTGCAAGCTCAGGCAATGCTAGCTTCCTTTTCTCTTTTCCCAACCTCATCAGCCATCCTCACCGTCTCCTTCCCTCACTCTGTGAGCTCGGGAGCCCAGGCTGCTCTCCTCAGTTAACAACCAGATCAGGCGCTCCCTGCTGTGTCAGTGAAGGACAGGGTGCAGAAGTGTTTTGTCTGTGCTGCTGGGGGAGCAACACCAGCTTTTGGAGCAGACGGAGCAGCGTTTGGTTCTTGGGCTTTTCACTGACTCATCTATGACTTCGGACAAGTTGTTGCACTTCTCAGAGCCTGGTTTTTCTCAGTTGTAAAGTGGAGACAAGAATGCCCATCTTGCTGGGATGGCTAAAATCTTCATTGGTAATGCCTAGAACAGGCACGGAACTGACCCGTGCTGGTGGGAGTGAGTCTCGGCTCTGTCCCTGTGGTGGCCTGCCTTGCGAGGCTGCTGCAGGAAGGCAGGATCCTTCCCTCCACGTGCCCTCTGCTTTTCCTTTCTCTTGCCCAAACTCCCAAAGGCTGGCACCCCAGAGCTTGCTGCTTCCTCTAGCTCAGTCATCCAGGCTGAGTCCCTCTCACCCCGTCCCTGTAGCTGGCTGACAAGTCCCCCGCTTCCTGAGCTCCTCCACTGAGGGGCCTGGGTGGCGGGCGTGTGGCCTGTGGACACCTGTGTTCCTTAGCAGGAACCGGGATGTCGCGACCCTGGGCCATGGGGCTTCAGAGCAGGGCTGTGGCCACGGGGACATTTGCTGGCACGTAGCCCTCTGAGACAGAAGAAGTGGAGTCTAGTAGGTCACAAACAGAGAGGAAGGTCTGTCACATCTGAGTCTCCAGGCGGCACAGATCATGGTCACAGGTGGGAATAACTTATGGCACGTGCCCGGTCATCTCATAGCACCAGGCAGTTACTCAAATATAAGAATGTGTCAAATTAAGTTTCCTGAAGGCCCTTTCAGGACAAGAGCCCCGCTTTGGCTCCTGGGAGCCCTGCCTGCCTCCTGGGTATCTGTGCCAGCAGCGATGTGTCCTCAGCTCAGGGCGGGGCCTCACGATGTCTCCTCCTGCCCTTCCGACCACCAGGTGACAGTGCAGTACACTCAGGACCACGGTGCGGTCATTCCCCTGCGCATCCACACCATCGTCATCTCTGTGCAGCACGACGAAGATATAACGCTGCAGGACATGCGCAGGGCCCTGAAGGAGCAGGTGATCAAGGCCGTGGTGCCGGCCCAGTACCTGGACGAGGACACCATCTACCACCTGCAGCCCAGTGGGCGGTTTGTCATCGGCGGCCCCCAGGTGTGTCCTTGTCTCTGAATGAGGCTCTGACTCATCTCCCCTCGACCCCCACCCAGGGTTACTTAGCTCCCCGAGCACAAAGGCCACAGGAGGTGATAGCTTTATGTGGCTCAGCCAGGTCTGGCCCGGGATAAAATGTGAAGTCAGCTCACCCTTCCACAGGCTTTGAAATTGTTGTTTTCTTATTTCTGGTATCTGCCCCCTGCTGGATGAGGCTGGACTAGAGGCTCGTGCAGGTTTCCTGGCAGGAGGAGTCAGTGGCTGCCCGCTGCTGGGGGGAGCTTGGTCCGGGCCCTCTGTGCAGCCTGCTGTGCATCCTTCAGGAGGAACGGGGCCCATGCCCTCAGCAGGCCCCCACTTGGTGCTGCCTGGCCCTCGCACGCCAGATGTCTCATACTTGCCGCCCGACATGTCCAGGCTGCCAGCGCCCTGCTGAGTGCTCACCACCACAGGCACCCACCTTGCCTGGGTGGCCCTGCCAGGTCTTTGCCACCTGTTACCTCCAGCTCTTGTGGGCACCAAGGTGGGGCTGTGTTTTAGATGGGGACACGGGCTGCCCCTTCCTCCTGTGCTGCAGGAGTGAGCAAACGGAGAGGGCCATAGCCCTTCCGAGAGGCTGCTGACCGCTGCCAGGGGGCCTCTGCTCCAGACGTGTTGTCACAGAGCAGAGCCCCTGTAATGGGTCCTGTGACCAAAGGTAGCGCAGAAACAGGGTGAAAAGAAGGTAAAGCCTGTGGTATTTCCTTGCAGGACTTCTCAGAGCCTAGGCATGCTGGGGTGAACTGCTGTGGGTGTCTAAGTGGGGGCGGGGTATAGTACGCAGACTTTCCTCACATCATTTAACATAGACACCCCCCCCACCACACACACACACTTTGTTGACTGGTGTTGCACAGAGCAGACCCTCGAGGAAACGGGCAACTTGAAGTTTGCCGGGTGTCACCAGCTGGCACCACAGCCCAGGTGTGTTTGTCACAGTGCAATTTCCTCCTGCACTTGGATTTTTCCATTATGATTGACTTCTAAAAACCGAGGAGTGGAATGTGACCCTAGGGGCCCATCTTTTGCACTCTCTGCTGAAGCTCTGACAGGAGGCTGACTTCTGTGACTGGTCAGCCACTGAAGTGGGATTAGAGCCCAGGGCTTCTGGCTGAGTTCAGGCCAAGGGGTCTTTGGAGAATGCCCCCTCGCAGCTTCAGGAACCCTTTCTAAGTTGCGGTGCGGCGACTACTGCAGTGCTTCGGCCACCCCTCCCATCTCCTCCCTCCACGTCTTCCCTGCCCTCTGCAGGGGGATGCGGGCGTCACTGGTCGCAAGATCATCGTGGACACCTACGGCGGCTGGGGGGCGCACGGCGGGGGTGCCTTCTCTGGGAAGGACTACACCAAGGTGGACCGCTCGGCAGCGTACGCTGCCCGCTGGGTGGCCAAGTCCCTGGTGAAAGCGGGGCTCTGCCGGAGGGTGCTTGTGCAGGTGGGTCACACCCCACCCCATTGGAACCCCCACCTCTGCCCTGAGTACTGACACACTGGCCTGAGGGTAAGGCCACACACTTTGCCAGAGGACATGCCTCTGTGTGTGTGTCATGTTGGGCGCTGTGGCCAGTACCCTGCAAACCTGGGAGAGGGAAAAACATAAAACAGTTACCTTCAGGGAGAGGGGCACGTGCCAAAACTGCCCACCGAGAAGATGGTGGGGTTTCTAGGTGGACAGGGTGGAGGGAGCGTGTTGGGCAGGACATGCGTGGTCTCAGCAGCCCCTCCCTGAGGACGAGAGGGTCTCTGCAAGGGGCCCGTCCCTGACCCTGGGCTCTTCTGGAAGGTTTCCTATGCCATTGGTGTAGCCGAGCCACTGTCCATCTCCGTCTTCACCTATGGAACCTCTCAGAAGACAGAGCGAGAGCTGCTGGACGTGGTGAACAGGAACTTTGACCTTCGGCCTGGCGTCATCGTCAGGTAACCCCCACCCCCCGCCACTGTTAGGACCCTCCTCCCTCACCCAGTGCTCAGCTCAGTGGAGAGAGAAACAGAAAGGAGGGTGTTCAGCCTCCCCAAAGCAGGAGGGGCCTCAAGCTCTTGGCCCAGTACAGCGCACACCCCAGATGCAGGATGTGTGGTTTTCAGGACGAAGGAGGCTGCATCAGGTCCCTGCTGGCTCGGCAGACACTGACTCCAGGGGGGCCATCTGTGAGCAGGTTGGGGATCTTAGGAAAATAATGACAAGGCCAGATGGTGGGGAACTGAATCAGCAAGTCTAGTTCCAACTGCTCTTGTTTCTAATGTCACCCCTGCTCCCTGGATCTTGGCAGAGCTGATACTGATCTGGGCCAGGTCAGCGGGGTGGAGAGTAGCCCAGAGTTCAGATACTGGTTCCCAGGTACATCTGCTTGGCCAGGCTGCCCCTGAACCTCTGAGCCTGTTTCCTTAGGGCCAGTGGCAGTCACCTCATATTATGTAGTGTGGCGTAGACAGGACCTTACAGGGATTGCTCTGAGTGGTTGACGCTCCACACACAGACTGTCACAGTCTGTTAGTTACTCCTGTGCTCAAAATTTGGAGAAACCCTGCTCCCTTTCCACTTAAAATGACCCTTTCTTCTGCTGAACATGCAGGGATTTGGATTTGAAGAAGCCCATCTACCAGAAGACCGCATGCTATGGCCATTTCGGGAGAAGCGAGTTCCCGTGGGAAGTTCCCAAAAAGCTTGTGTTTTAGTGCTGGTGGGAGCCGGGCCTGGCCTCACCCTGGAGACACCTGGGGGGAGACAGAGCCACATGCCTCTACCCCAGGTGCTGACCACCCTCCCAGGGGTTACCTTCCCCACCCCCTGCTCCCTCCAGGACAAAGCCAGACCCTTGTGACAGCAGGAGAAGGGGACCTCCTGGTGCTGGGGCTCAGATCTCATGAGGACAGTCACGATATCCCCTTCTTCTCCCTAAGACCGAGGAGACGTGAATTTAGTGAAAAACCACCCCTGTCAGGAGGAAATCTCCTCACTCACCTCCCCCACAGCCTGGACTCTGGCCGGCTCCTCCCTCCGTGGCGTGTTCCAAGGGCAGCACATCTCACTGGCCTCAGGGCTCCATGCGCACCTGGGCGTGCAGCCCAGCAGTCAGCGTCCTAAGCCCAGGCCTTCCCAGCGGGCCTCACAAACCAGCCTTCTGGCAGGGATGAGAGCGGAGGCTGACACTGAGCATCGACAGTGTGCAAGGGACTGAACTAATCAGTGTTCTCATTTCTTCACTGCAACACGATGAGATGACACCTTGTGTCCTCCACGTTTATAGATGGGGAAACCGAGGCACAGACCATCTTGGTCACTTTCCCGGGGTCCCAGAGCCGCGTGGGTCAGGGCCTCGATGTAAACCTGGAGCTTCGGCTCTGGAGCCTGTCTGCCATGTCCCCCATCCCCATCCTTCCCAACCTCATGCCAGAAGCAGGTCTGAACAAGAACAGCAGGTGGAGAGTAGGCTGTGACCTCTGTCCTGAAGACCTGAGGGTGCTGGGAGCTAGGGGATTAGCCCTTCGACTCTTGGTGAGCCCTGGGCAGGGATCTGCAGTCAGGGCAGAGCCAAAGGGGTGTTTCGTTTGCCTCATTTGTTTTTTAGAAGATAGTTCAGGCTGAGCTAGGGTTTGGAATTGAGAGGCAAGCATGTAATCCCAGCCCCTGTCTGCTAGGGGACATGCGGGGCTGGGCTTGTGGACCCCCGCGGTGAGGGTCCAAGTCCAGTCCTGTGCCGTCGAGCTTCCTAGAGCCCGAGAAGCAGCTTGTCCCTTAAACAGGGGGTGGAACCCTGTGTCCTTCATGTCTTTCCCTCTCTCTGGCCCGTTTGAAATCCCTGCTGTCTGAGTGCTGTTGGAATAAGTGAGTGAGCCCCTCCGATCCCCTTTCCAGAGAGGACAGTCCTACATGTGAATATGGAATGTGAAGTGGTGGCTTAAGTGGCAGGGCTTGACTCTCGGTGATGGACGAATGAGCTGAGATGTCATGAGGAGATTTCTGCCTTTGCCAGGCGGCTTCTGGAGGGCAGGTCTACCCCTGCGGTCCTGGGTGGTCCTCGGCACACCAGGATCTTGGAAGCTGTACAGTCCCCTGCCTTCCCATCCGTGGCCAGCACCACTTACCCGCTCCCCCACGATGGGCCCCAGCCTCAGCCTGGGCTCTGATAGCTGCATCGGTACCTTCTCCCCAGCTCCCTGGACGCAGGCTCAGGTAGGAGCCTCCATAGGCCCCAGCAGAACGCTGCGGGGACAGGGCTTCTTCCCAGGACACGTGGTGCTAGATCTGCCAGGACACGCAGCCCGGGAAGCCTCGTCTGGGCAGCAGACAGCCTACAGGGGGACTCTAGGCTTTCTCTTCCCATCCAGGGAAATGCATCTGTTCATGGCAGAAAAAGAGGCCCCAGTTACCATAAAAACCTAGAGTTGGTGTGTGATATGGAAGCTCTGATCTCTCTGGATGGGCTCAGAATTCTAGGCTTGGACAGGACCTGTGAGACAATTTCCTAGAAGCCTCGCAGCGCTCCCGGTGCCCAGGAAGTCTCAAGTTCCCTTTGGGAGAGGGAGGCTCAAGTTTGCGGGTGGCTGAGCTCCTCTTACTTGGGCCACGTTCAAAGTGAAAATTCAGAATTTTATACTTTCCCCACCCCCTAGAAAAATAAGCTTTTGTGGGGACAACACCGCTTTTGTGAAACTAGAGTATTTGTTAATAATTCCTGCTAAACCAATGAATAAAACTCCAGGAGCAAATACTCTGTGCTTAGTTTTTGTCCGCAGTGCCCTAGAAACCGCCCCTCCAAATCGCATTACCCGATCCCCCGCCCCCAGCGAGTGGGTGTCCTGCCCTCTGGGTTTCCCAGCCTGGGGCCCTCCTTTGCTGTCCTCGTGGGGCTTGGCCAGCTCTGCTGAAGGTGTCTCATTAGCCAGCTCCTGTATCATCCTTGTATTGCTGTGTTCATTCTGCGCCACACCGCACAGGATGGGGAAACCCACGTTACACACGGCGAGCGGCTCCTGGGCCTTCAGGGGTGCCCCCGCGATCGCCAGACATTTATGCCCCCCATCCTCACCTGCTCTGTGTTGGGGTGAAAGGCTTGAAATGGGAAACTTAGAAGAAATTTTTGCCTGGGACAAATTCCCCAGAGTAGATGTGACCTGGGCACAGTGTAAGAAGCAGTGACACAGCAGCCAGGATAAGGAAACAACCTAAGTGCCCACCAGTAAGTAGATAAAGAAGATGAGTTGTGTATACACAGGCGAAACATCATTCATGAGCAAGAAGGGCGTCCTGCCGTTTGCAACAGTGTGGATGAGGACGTTATGCTAAGTGAGGTAAGTCAGAGAGAGACAGACACTGTGTGATGTCACCTACATGTGGACTCTACAAAAGCCTACCTGATAAGAGTAGAGTGGTAGTTTTCAGGGGGTTAGTGGGGGTGGGGTGGGGAGAGTGAGTGGATAGGGGAACGTGGAGATGTTAAAGGATACAACAGAGAAAAATCAGTTCTGAGGATCTGTTGTACAGCATGGTGATGATAGTGATTATAGGTACTGTATTATGTACTTGAAGGTTGCTAGGAGAGCAGGTTTTTTTTTTACTGACTTAACAGTTGATTTACAATGTTGTGTTTCTGGTGTATGGCATAGTGATTCAGTTATATATATTCTTTTTCATATTTTTCATTACAGATTATTATAAAATATTGTATATTGTTCCCTGTGCTATACAGTAGGAACTTGTTTATTTCATGTGTAGTAGTTTGTATCTGCTATTCCCAAACTCCTAATTTATCCCTCTTCCCACCTTTCCCCTTTGGTAACTGTAAGTTTGTTTTCTATGTCTGTGAGTCTGTTTCTGTTTTGTAAGTTAGTTCATTTGTATCATTTTTTTTAGATTCCACGTATAACTGATATATGATATTTGTCTTTCCTTGTCTGATTTTATGTAGAAGGACTATCTTCAGGTCCATCCACGTTGCTGCAAATGGCACTATTTTATTCCTTTTTTATGGCTGAGTAGTATTCCATTGTGTATATATACCACATCTTCTTTACCCAGTCATCTGTCAGTGGACATTTATGTTGTTTCCATGTCTTGGCTATTGTATATAGTGCTGCTATGAACCTTGGGGTGCATATATCTTTTTGAATAAGAGTTTTCTCTGGATATATGCCTCAGAGTGGGATTGCTGGATCATATGGTAACTCT